GCTGCGAAAGATTAGCTAAGTGCGCGATTAAAATTGTGTTGCTATTGCGAAAAGAAATATAACAGACGAGAGATCGACCTTGTAACTTTAATTTACGATAAAATTAGTCTTTCTCTGAGAAAATCCACTCACTCTATCTACGTTATTTATATTCATAGTATAATTATCGTTTTAACTTAAAAAACGGAATGATATACATTTTTACTCTAAGCGGAATTTCTTAAGAGCGAGAAACTCTTTGAAAGTTTCCAATTACAGAGAGCGTTTCCATTTTAATTAGAAGCTTGACAATGTAGGCGAGCACACTGAGATCGCAATCGTTTGGATTACACAACGAGTGCGCGATAACGTTGCAGCGACTGTTATAAATCGTCGTGTTAAGATCGCCGTTTGATAAATTGCGCTAATTGTGAGTCGAACTCTTCCATGCAGCTTTTAAATTATTGGTAAATGTTTATCTACGATTTTAGTGGGTCTGTATTTATACCTACCTCTGAATACTCCTTCTCTCCTCGACCCTGGACTGCTCGATCCTCTTATCGCACACGCGCAATTATTTTATCGCGCCGCGATATTGCGTTTACCTACGTGCAACTACGTGTTTGAGATAATGCAATAATAGTTTGCTTTTGTAAACTGTAGCATCATCGTTATTCGGAGCACGTGTAAGTCTTACGTACACGTGTCGTAAATCTTTGCGGTCTAACGCATAACTTTCGTAGTATTCGTAAATCTAACGATTTCACAATGAAGTTCGCAATTTGCTGGTTTCACGTCGCCGGGATTATTGCTTGATGAATATCAATCTCCTTTTTTCATCTAAAAAAAAAACAAATGTAATGCCTGCCGTGTGACGGATTTATGGAACGTGTTGTTAATCGAACTTGTTGTATAAAAAATGCAACGAGGAAAGAAGTTGCCTATCCTATCGAGAGTATAAATTAGCACGTTTAATTAACATATCACAATCTTATCATATGACAAATGCAGTATCAATCCAAAGTTCTACCAATATTGCGATTTTGATTTTAGTCCCGTATTGAAATTGGGATCAAGCATATCACACACTGTTAGAAAGATACGAAAGATAATTTGTTTTATCGTCCTCGCTTATCAATTAATTGAGATAATCGCGGAGCGATGCAGTGCTTTCCTTGCACCGCGCTGATTCCCAGAAGATTATCCGTAATAGCGTATAAAACATTAATTACCCTATGCTAAACGGAAGATAAAATAGAATTGACTCAACTGCGCATTTTTGCGTTCAAAAAAAAAAAAAATGCGCGATGCGTTATTTTTATCGCTCCCCATTCGCACACGCGTACACGCACGTGCGTCGCGAGACACCTATTACTTATTGTTAGTCTTTTGCAAATCGCGTAGTTGCAACCGCCATCGTAAATTTTCCTTCTCCGCGACGCGTGGAGAAATAGGAGAGAAAGAGAGAGAGAGAGAGAGAGAGAGAGAGAGAGAGAGAGAGAGAGAGAGAGAGAAGAAAAGCAAACGTAGGAAGAGAAATAAAACGACAGGGTGGGAAGGTGCGAGAGGAGATCCGGAGAAGCGGTGGAAGCGCGTTTTAAGCGCCGCGCGCGCGATGCTCCAAGTGCCGCGGGATGCGGCGGTGACGGGCCGTTATCTTCGTCACGATCGAGGAATGTAATATCGTCACCCCAAGCGACAAGAGTTGCCTTCGCATCGCCGTTTAGAATACCGTCGTCGTGTGCCGTAGAGGTAGGATGAGGAGGGGTGAGGAGAGCGGAAGGGGAAGGGGGGACACGGGAACGGGGATTAAACTGCAATGAAAATCCACTCATTCTGCGCTCCACCGTCCGCCGCCCTCTTCTCTTTTCCGCTTCGCATTGCCAGCGCCGGGAGAAGCGGGTAAACAAGATATTGCTTTGTACGCGCGCGCGCCCTTCACGTCTCTCGCTTCCGCTTTTACCGTTTTACCGTCGTTCTAGCTCGCGTCTTGCCCGTTATCGCCTTATCTCGCGCGCACGACATCCTCTCTTCCCTGGAGCAGGAGCAAGGACCAAGAGAACTGCTCGCTCTCCGGGCCGATCGACGGATAGATATACCATCTGGTGCGACTTTAGACGACTTTTGCCCTTTAATTATCTAGCGAGATTTAGAATTCGCAATCGGTCGTATCGACGACGAATAAGTCGAGGAGCAGATGAGGGACTGATGGGGATGATGATGGATAACGGTCGCGCTTATTACTTAACGATACTTTATTGTTTTTATCATTACATATTATTATAAATCTATCATTTTGACACATACAATACTTACTAAGATCTACTGACGATTCTTTTTAACGATAGGATGTGTGTGTGTGTTTAGCCTATAACTAAACATATATCTCGACTTCGCTGCTTTCGACGCTTAGCGGAGGAACAAAGTGAAATACCGCGGCGTGCGTCTCGTAACGAATTGAAAAATATACGAGATTAGTAAAATATATCGTTGCAATTCGCTAAACACTCACTCGTCACGAGATTTTCACATTTCGAGTACGCTGGCCGTCGCAGTGTAAGAATAGGCTTGTTTATTTTTACACTAAAATAATTTGGATCGCCGGCAAATTCCAATTTCGCTGTCGTATAATATAATTACACACGTTGTTTGGAATTTTCGAAAGCATCGTTTAAGCGCGTCATGTATTTTTAATTGAATGTCACATACATACAACGTGCACTTCTCACGTGCAGGAATTAATTTACTCGGTCATGCATATTTCGACAGTGATTGGCTTTAACAAATTTAGATTTCATCAAAGCAAGATTCTTTTCATTTCTATATGATAATTTGCTGCGAAACTTAACCATCATACAATTTCGACTCTTTCAAGCTTTTGAAACTAAACGCGCATTTTAATTAATCGGCACTCCTTTGACGCTAATTAAATCTTTTTGGCAATATACAATATGTTTAAAATACTTAAATCACACTTGTTTGTTTTAAGTCTTGTACAGAAACTTGTGTTTAAAGATTGCACGCAGGATTCCTTCGTCGGATACAGTGCAAAACGGGGGATAAAAGCGTCATTGGGGATCGTCATTATCTTCAAAGCTGCGACCTTTCGCATCACTTCAACGCGCGAGAGAGAACGGAAAACGTTATCCTAGTCTCGTAAAATGGCCATATAGGTATTCACAGTTACGTACGGATCGCGCTACGGATTCGCTGTATGTACACCAAACGTCTACTTGACCGCTTACGGCTAAAACGGGAGGGGGGTGGCGCGAGGGCGGCTTTACATTAAATCCACCGAAGAAAGATTCTCCCCGCTATAACAGAGTGCTGCGCATATATTTGTCTGGGACTATTTACAATGCCGATATTAATCGACCATACGGAAGCGGCCTAAGTTCGCCTAACCGACAGATCCAGGCAACAAAAGTGAAATTAGGGGGGAGGGAAAGGGGGGAGGGTGGCAACTTATCCGCACAACGAACTTTGTTCGCAAAAGCTCGTTCGACGAGTGGAAGTGCATTATTGTTCCACTTCTCCTGTTGCTGCGTGTTGATCAGATTCATAATAATTAACGTTATCAGGAAAATCCAAAGAAAAAATGCCACATTCAAAGGAAACAAAAAACTGATAGTGAATTTGTGCTGTTAATTATTACCCCAAAAAAAAATTTCCATAAATGAGAAATTATGCATGGCAGTGATGACAAAAATTTTTGATTTTTCAATTTTTTAATAGAAGAAAATTCGTAAACAATCAATAAACGGAGAAAGATTTACACAATTGAAATGCAATTTTATATTAGCAGTGAAAATTAATTTGATTATAATGCATCTATACTTCCACTAGTCGTTTTAAAAAGCAACACGAATGTAAAATGAAAACGCTACGACCTATTGCACTACGCCTTTTTACAGAGATGCGCCGATATATACGAGACGCGCTATTATCCCCGATACATCATCATTAAGTCGATTCATACGATTCTTTCTATAGTTTCTGCGGACGCATCTTGATTACCTACTCGGCAAGACCATCAGGAATTTCATGCGCCAGGATTGCTTTGATTACATGAAGCATGACCCACGTCTCGCCTTACCGAATAAAAATTATTGGATATAGATAACACAAATAATCTGAATTTCGAATCACGATGTGAGTCCTTCTTGTCGTCTGCAATCGCTGAATATTTTACTGCGAAAATATACTGGCTAATACATGCAGAGCGAGCATCTTGCTAATTTTTAGAGATCCGTGTCGAAGGTTCACAAAACGCTCGTCGAATATGTAACAATTTTATTACAGATAAATTCTGCCCAAATGATACGGAAAACATGATAAAACTAAAAACCAAAAAATTTTTGTAAAAAGTCAAAAGCGCTGAAAATTTTAATGACATACATACTTCTTTCTTTACAATACAGACTATAGACTGAATAAACTGTGATCTACATAAGAGGAAAAGCGACTTCCGAATTGCGAAACGACATCATGCTCTGTATTTATTCGCGAGATTAAAATGTTTCATTTGGACAGCATTGGTCAAAAAGAATATCTGCTAAACGACATCAATTACCATCTGGAACGAGTAGTCCTTTGCGGTGCGATTGTTTCAAACTCTTTCTCGAATCATTCTTGACCAGCCAAGTCTCTAATCAGTCTTTGACGGGCACGATTCACCAACGCGGTCTCGCTGCGGTCACCATTCGATCGAGTTTTAGTGTTCACTTCGCGATCCTATCACTCTTCTCCCCAAGAAGAGAAACTACGATTTCTCTTCCATTTCTTTACTTCTCGGGAGGGCAGAAGCTGAAGCTTCAAATTGTCGATAATGGCGGAACTGTCTTGTTCAATAGTACGAATTCTGTTTACGAGCGCTTTGATGCTTATGTTACGCCACTTCTGGCCCTCCTAAATGATTCTGCAACCACGCCAAGCTCGCGACGGGATGCTACAAAGTGATTAATACTTTCGGAAAGTCGCCGTCTGTCTTTGGCGATTGGAAGGGAAGGTCGCCCAGGCTCCTAGACGAGCGGCGAGAAGGCGGACGCCTGGCTCCTGATCTCTCTGTGCTCCGACGGGCTGAGATCCAGCAGCGCGCCGCAGTTCTGATCGCTGGCCGCTTGCTTGCCGATGAGCGCGTCGATGCTGAAGTTGCGTTTCTTGTCGACGCTCGTCGTATGGCTGACCGGCAGCGTCGTGACCCTGGTGGAGGTCGGGTCGAGCTGCCTGATAGGCGGCGCCGTGATGGGCACCGGTTTGTAGAGCGGCGGTGGTGGTTCCAGGAAACCGCCGAGCTTCAGCGCCTCCAGGGTCGACGGGGAGAAGTCTAGTAACGGCAGACCGGGCGGCGGCGACAGGTAAGCGGCTCCGGGATAGGCGAGTGCGCCCGGGTGACCGCCGCCGCCACCCGGACAGGGTCCCCGGTCGCCGCAGATGGCGAAGGTGGCCATGATCGCTCGGTCCCGCAGCACGTAGTGCGGCGGTGGCCTCTTGTATCGCTTCCTGCGTCTCAGGAAGCTACCGTTGTCGAACATGTCCTCCGCCAGCGGGTCCAGCGTCCAGTAATTACCCTTACCCGGGTTCCCGGGCTCGCGTGGGATCTTGATGAAGCAGTCGTTCAGCGAAAGATTATGCCTGATGGAGTTCTGCCAAGCGGGGAACTTGTCGTGGTAGTAGGGAAAGCGGGACATGATGAATTCGCAGATGCCGCTCAACGTCAGCTTCTTCTGCGGCGACTGCAGGATCGCCATGGTGATCAGCGCGATGTACGAGTACGGCGGCTTTATTAGGGACGACGACATCTTATCGGAGCCGTAGCTGGTTGGCGGTTGACCGGAACCGCCGGATTTTCCCGATTGACTCGACGCCGACATCATCGAGTACGTTTTCTTGGAGCGTCCGCTGCCGCTGCCGCCGCCGCCGCCGCCGCCACCGCCTCCGCCTCCGCCGCCGCTCCGACTCCTGCCGGCCGACGGCGGCACTGACGTCGGCATTGGTACCGGCGAGCAGCTCGGCATCACCGGGCTCGACGACGTCTGCGACGGCGGCGACAGGTCGTTCTTGTCGAGACTCACCGGGTCGACGATCATGCTGCTACTGTCCGAGTCCCGGTCGCTGTCCGCGCAGCCGTCGCACGACAGGTTCGACATCATCATCGCACGTGGCTCCATCGTGATCGCCGCCTCATGAGCATAAGGACCTGCCACCGCGGAGGTGCTCGTCTATTTCGCCGTTGGTCCCGCGATCAGTTCCTCAAGGCTACCGCTCGCTCTCATCCTCTACCAAAAGTCCCGAAAAACTTCGCCCGATGCAAAATCGTATCAAAATATTTTGTTCTCTCGATATTTCTCTGATATGAAGAAAAAATCTTTGATTTTTATTTAATTATTAACGAAGAACGAAATTGTGCAGTACAAGTTCTAGACTATAATTATGCCAAGTGCCGAGATGTCCCGATACGAAATATTTCACTTATAAAAACATCTCTTAACAAGAATCAGGTTATATCGATTCTCATCTAATCTCGAAAGAAAACTGCATCCATTAGAACAAGAATTCCACACTAATTAGTTATTCACAAAATTGCTTTGGTATAAACAGTCATTGCATATAATACTTCTGCAACAATCTCTTCGTCGAAAATTTCAATCACTAAGTTCTCTCAGTTTTTTAAACAAGAAGACCCGTGTCACAATTTATTCGGCATTACTATTAACTTTTATTATTAACTGTATACTGTAATACAGACTGCAGTATCGTTATATGAACACTAAAACAATTTTTCCGCACGATTGTGCCGCACTTCGCGAAATTTTTCCGCGGATCGGAGGACTTTACCGTTGTCGGGAAAACACGCGAGTTGACTTCTGTTGCGATATATTTCAGCGGCACGACTGTCACATTCAATCCGTCGCTCTATCCTCCGCTTGACGAGTGCTATCTTACGTTAATAGTTTGTTTCCACAACGATAACGGGACTTTTTCGCTTCGCCCTCCTGCTCCTTCGCTTCTCTCTTGCTTCCGCCCGACTTCTGCGGGTTCAGGCTACGACGCACACGTCAGTCGTTCAATGGTCAAGGATGCCTCCCGCGATCCGTCTATGTGGATACGTTTCATCGTGCACTTTCCACCAGCCAGCATCCAATCAGACGGACTCGACGGATCTTCGGTATCTTCTCGCCCGTTTACTTTCTACAAAATAATCTCTCTCTCTCTCTCTCTCTCTCTTTCGCAGTCACGAGATCGTGCGATCTTGTCTCTTCATTAAAGAACTTGACTTGATTCGAACTAAATTGTCGACTCGAGGACTTACATCGAGGTTTTCGCGCGTGAATCTTTCGCGACGTTCTCGGGAAGCGTCATAAAGCTCTTTCTGGCATTGACACGCTTTTTCGAAGATTAAGATCGGATACGGTCACGTACTCGCGAACAACGAAGGGTGCACGATCGCGGAGCGGAGGATCGTCTACGGGGTGAGATCGAGGCTCGAATTGATTCGAAGCGACCGCTTCGGTCCTACGTGGGCGGACCAATGGGCGGGCGTTTAGACCCCCACCCCGGGCTCGCACCCCGTTAGACGAAACCACCCCAGCCGGTCGGACCGACGTGTTTCCACCCTGCTAGGGCTGCGAGAGAGAGAGAGAGAAAGAGAGAGAGAGTGGAGGAGCGACGTGGAAAACCGGGGGAGAAAGCCCCGGAGGGGGTTAGGACGGGAGTTAGGAAAATAGCGGGATAGTTAAAGGGACTTTCCGAGGCGGGTGTTGGAGGGGGCGGGAGGGCGAAATTGTAACACTTCGAAGGCTGATTTGCTTTGAGCGGCGCGATGAAGATGGAGCGCGAGCCGTTGATCTACGAGCCAGTCGCCGGCGACGCGACCTTCTCCGTCGTGCGATTGCTTTCTCGACACCAATTTCGTGACGTCCCTTTTTTTACAAACGGCGCTTTAAAAACGTCGGACTAAGAATTGGCTTAATTTAGCATCGGAAAATCGCGACAGCATTTTTCATCTTCGTAATTTTATAATCTTTCATCCCCGTTTTTAACTCGAGAGGGGAAGGGAATTTCAAACAGATGATAAAAAATACATTATTTTTTTCCATTGTACACTGCTCGTCTGATACATTGCTTCACTTAAATAGACATATGTTTCGAATAGCTTAATATCCAAGAAATATTTTTAGTTCACATTTTGAATCATTTATCATGTCAAATATATCCGTATAAGAAGCATTTTGAGAAAAACTTTCGGTTTAATTTTATTCAAAACTCTATCTCGGAATAAAATTTGGTTTTAAAATTCGTGTGAGTTGTTCCAAGCGTCTTGTCGCGTTTTTACAGCGACACATTTTTTTCTTATTGATTGATTAACTTGACGCAGCGCGGTGCAGGGGTTAAGGAAATAACTAAGCGCCATTATCGCATCGCATTTTCATCGTGGAAGTGCTGCAACCAACCAACCATCGACTAGATTCGTAGAATCGCCAACAGAGCGAGACGAGCTGCACGCATCACAAGTTAACTTCCCTGAGGCAGCTCAAATAGAATCTGTATTACGCCAGAGTGGTACATAGAAAGAGATAGAGATAGAGATAGAGATAGATAGATAGATAGATAGATAGATAGACACAGAGAGAGAGAGAGAGAGAGAGAGAGAGAAGTTGTTAGGGGTGAGAAACGTGCGCGAGAAGCACAGGGTATGTACACTAGGTTTGATAAATGATGTAACATTCACTAAATCCACTAAATATATTAATATACATATTAAGTTCTGCTAACGGAAAGCATGTTGTACGTAAGATGTAATTTATATTAAATTCAATGAAAATAAGGATATATGTATTAATCCTTATTAGATTTATATATGAATTTATCTATCAATCAAATTACTTCAATCTTTGCTCTTAACGAGCTAACTTTCATTTCAATTTATTTAACACAATTTCGATGTCGACGAAATTTTATCCTAACAAATATAAGCCGCGGCAACACAAAAGTATTCAAACGAATACTTTTTAATTGTTTTTTTTTTCGAATAAGCAGACAGCATCGTGTGTGTATCTGGATCTGGTGCATCTTTTCGGTAAAACCTGCCTAGGGCGAATGTGTCGAGGCATTTATGACGCCTGGTGTACGAGCGAGAGGGAGAGAGAATCGGGATGGGCGGAGGAGAGGGGGACCGGGTATACGGCGGAACCGCGCGATATAGATGCGGATGCGAGTCTACCTGAGCGCACTATCGGTTCACAGAGCCGAGCCGAGCCGAGAGCGAATATTGTGTTTACTCGTACGCATGGCTTTGCGGTGCAAATAATCTGGTATTATTGCACTTACTCCACGTATGCGCGGGCGAAACTCTTCGCCAACTGCCATCCCCCGCCCGCCCCCTCCCTCTCGTCGCCGCTTCCGCTTCTTTGTCGTGTAGCGCTCTTCGCGCCGGATTTCAATATCCGTTCGCGCTAATGTTAATGCCGCGTATTGTGCCGTTGTGCCTCTGAGATCTCACGACGCGCGAGACGCCGTAATGATTATTATTCGGTGTCTTGAGTCCTATATTGCCGCGCGTGTCTGCTACACGTATATATCTGCCGGTAAATGTTTGTACTTTAGCCGCATTATTTCTAATTGCTTCTAATTTAAAATGTAATTTACCACATCTCGGCAATCTTTGAAAAAGATCTTATCTTAAATTAATTTATTCATAAGGCTGAAAGAAAATATTATTAAGGAGATGTGACGATATATTACAATATCTAGAATTGAATGCTATTGTCTTAAATCATAACGAATCTCCGCTCGAGATTATTAAACAATAGAAAATAAGAAATAAAACGGCCAATTAATCGAACAAATAAAGGTAAAAAATAAATACTATTATTATACTAATATTATAAGAAGTACACGGAGAGAATTTTCTTTTAAAATTTACCCTGAAAATCATGTTAATTGTGAGACAATATAGTATTTAGGTAAATTTTACTAGATCGGAAGAGCACACG